GGCCTCTATCATAAGACTGACCCCACCTTCATTCTGGACATCCTCCCTCAGTTGGGCCTCCCCTCTCAGACAGGACTGCATGATGGAACTGAGCCTCTACTTTTGGCCCAGGCCTCACCTGAGTGTAGGATGACGGTGACAGACACATACAATGACTTTCCCACTAGGGCATCTTCTCGCGGGGGCTGCGGGGCCGCACTCAGCAGGACCTCTCGGTTCAGCACAGCCTCTCCAGTGCCATCCTCGATCTGGGATAGGAAATGAGGGCTCAGAGTAGGTGGGACTCAGGGGGAGGGGATTCAGAGAGTGAGAGGGAAGGGTTCAGAGTGGAGGAAGCTCTGGGGGCCCCTGGTAGGTACCACAACACGGGTGAGTGACTGGGACAGTGAAATCCTCTGGTCACCATCCTGGACCCCAAAGATGACGAAGGCTGTTCCTTCCACATTCTTCCCATACAAGAACCTGTGTAGAGAAGAGAGTCTCAGATTCTCCCCTCCTCAAAAGCTGAGTCGTAATGTAGGGTAAAGTCACACTGGCCATGGAGAGGACCCAGAATCACCAACCCCTCACCTCACACTCACCAGGCCCTCATCCGGCCCCTCATATGGTCTTTCACCTGACCCCTAACCTGGAACCTCACTTGTTCTCTCACCTGGCCCCTCACCTGACCCCTCACCTGGTCCCTACCTGACCCTCTCCTGGCCCCTTCTCCTGGTCCTCACCTGACAGTCACCTGACCCCTCACCTGACCATCACCTGACCCCTCTCCTGGCCCCTCACCTGGCTGTGATGGTAACCTCCAGGCCCTTAGGGTCATCAATGTAGTAGAATTTCTCTGCAGGCTCCACTTGGACCTCAAAACTAGGCAGCACTGGGGGCGGCGGTGGCGGGGAGAGAGACAGTACTGTGAGGGGCCAGCACTGAGCCCACCATTATGGGGCCCACACCTTGGCTCCCTCCTTCTCTTACCATATTCCTTCACCTCAAACTCAGCCGAGAAGACCTGCTGTGGCGAATCTTCATAGTGGGCTTTTATCTTCCACTGCCCCATGCTGTGGGGAAGGCAGGTGAGTGATCTGGTCAGACCTGGCAGCCCCCCACTCCTTCTCCTGGGATAGGGGAGCCCGAAACCCACTCCTGGAGGGCCTGACATACTTACTTGACCAGCTCGGGGATGTTCCAAGACAAGGGCAAGATGCCAAAGTGGTTTTGAGAAGAGAGGGGGTCCCGCTTAATGGGAATGCCTTCGGGCGTCTGTAGAAAGACAGGGAGGGGTGTGGTTCTTCAGAGCAGGCTTCGCCCCTTGGCCCTCCTCTCCCGCTCTGTGTCTGGACACTCTCTGTCATGTCTACAGCAGCAGCGGCTAACAACGTGGACCTGAGTTGGTCAGCCTGGGTTCAAATCCCACTGTGCCACCTACAAGCTGTGTGACCTTGGGCAAGTTACTTAACTTCTCTGTGCTCAATGTGCACATGTAAAAACAGGAGATAAATACAGCCCCTCTGCCTTGGGACATC